GCTACGTTCCTAGTTTCACCTAGTCGAACAACTCATCCACCATCACGTCAAACAACGCAGTAAACCCGGTTCCCTTGGGACTACCAGCCCTCGCAGGATCTCCCCTTCTCCAGTACGACCGAGCAGACCGTTGCTTCGTCACCACCACAAGAAGGACTCCCATCTATCCTCGAGGCGGCTCCTGGGTTCGCGCAGAAGGTTCCAACCCGCAGATCGTCGCCCATCAACAGCTTGTCAGCTATTACCAGAGACACCCTCCCGCTCACCCAGAAGACGTATTCGCCATCCTACGAATCAACGTCGAACCAGCACAAACAACAGAGAACCTACAGTCACCTGTTAACGAACAACCGTTTGAGCTCCCGGACGTTCAGTACGTTCCCATTAAGGCTCCAGAACTACCACCAGCCCCACCTGCACCAACCAACGCACCGGTTGAAGTCCCCATGGCAACGTTCACCCAAGCAGACATCGATCAGCGCATCGCTGTCGCCCTCGCAGCATACCAATCCCAACAGTCAACTGCCAACCGACCCCTTCGCCTTGACATCCCCGCTCCCGAACCTTTCAGCGGAAAGGCGGAGGACCTCAGACGCTTCATCCAATGCATCCTCTCCTACTTCGTCGCCACCAACAACACCAGACTTAGCGATGAAGCAAAGATCGCCTTCACTGTAGCATTGATGAGGAAGGACCTAGGGAAGACATGGGCAGACGCATACTACGAGAAGTCGGCAGGGGGAGTCCAGGTCTATCCTGATTGGGCAGCCTTCGCCACCGCCCTTGAGGAAGCGTTTCCTGAACACGGAACGCGAATCAAGGCGCACCAAATCCTGATGAAGCTGCCCGAACGACAAAAGAACAAGAAGACGGCGCTCTCCCTTGGAAACTACGTCACCCGCTTCGAGCAGCTAGCGTTAAAAGCCCAGCTCAAGGACGCCGAAGTCAATGGCGTCAACCGCACCGAGAACGACTATCACACTCTCCACGCCAACTTCGTCAAGGGACTTCCGAAGGAGCTCTACGTCTCTCTCGCAACTAGGGTCGCTAGAGACCGACCCAACACCATGAAAGCCTGGTACGATGAAGTCCGAAATGCCGACGCCGCCGAACAAGGGGCCCTCACCGTCACAGACACCAGGGACTACGGCGAGCCAATGGATATCGACACCGCTGCAGTCGCGGCAACCTTTGCCTCCACATCGGGAGGAAGGAAGTGGGAACTAGGAGCCGTTCTCAACGAGGCCGATCGGAAGCTCCACAGGGATGGAAACCTGTGCTTCTACTGCCACATCAAGGGCCACAGCGCCAAGGATTGCCGCAAGAAAGCGGCCGCACGACAAGGGGGTGGAAGGCCGAACCAGGGAGGATCTGGAAAGGACGACTTCCGTGCCAGAATCAAGACACTCTCCGCTGACGAAAAGCGGGAGCTGTACGAAGAACTCACGATGGAGGATTTTTGAAGGGGCAGGGTGAGCCGACGCAACCACTGCCCGTATCCGTTTCACTGTCCCGTGTAATTCTAGTAGTCCGAAATGAACGCGCTCTGCACATTCCGATTACTGTGGGACGAAAAGACGTCGAGGCGCGCGCTTTCATCGATAGCGGCGCAACTGGAATCTTCATCAGCCCGAGATTCGTCCGAGAACATCGACTTCGGACAGAACCTCTTCCCCGACCCATCCCCGTCTTCAACGTGGATGGAACTCCGAACAAAGAAGCACTCATCACGCGAAGAGCTCTCTTATCCTACAAGATAAGCGGAGAACCCCGATTCGTCAAAGCCTACGTCGCCAGCATCGGCAAGGAAGACGTCATCTTCGGCCATACCTGGCTCAAGCTCGAAAACCCCAAGATAGACTGGAAAACCGGACGAGTTGAGCTAAACCACCGATGGACGAAAGACGAGACAAGGGCCTGGAAGATGGACCTGTACCAAAGGCGAGTGGCTCGGCTAGAACTAAAGAAGGCCGTAACTACCCCACTCCCAGAACCAACGAAGGATGAATTCATCGTCATCCCCACCTCGGAACACGCAACCCTCCCCGAACAAAAAACTAGCGGCGCAGCAGGATATGACATCTCTGCTGCGCATCAACTCATCATCCCTGCCCGACGACGAGGCCTGGTCGGCACCGATCTTACCATGGCTATCCCCGAAGGACACTACGGAAGAATCGCACCTCGATCCGGCCTAGCACTAAAGGAAATCGATGTCGCTGCTGGAGTAATCGACTCCGATTACCGAGGCAAGATCTCAGTCCTACTGGTCAACAACTCTGACCTCCCATTCACCGTCAAAGTCGGTGACCGAGTCGCTCAGCTCATCCTTGAAAGGATAAGCACCCCACCAGTAACTATAACCGACTGCATCGACGAAACTGAACGCAGGGAGGATGGGTTTGGGTCAACGGGTATTGCGTCCATCGAGGAACAAGTGGAGGACATCGACAACGATGAGTTCATCATTTCCTACTTATCTGGAGCGCCGATGATCACCAAGTACGAGAAACAGGAACCCCTGGCAGTAAGGGACGTTCCGCTCAAGGAGCGACTCCCTGAACCTTCAGCTGGCT